AAGTAAAACATATAAAATAATGATACACTTAAAACAGGATAAATAAATAATACACAAAATGAAAACTTTATGTCACAAACGTACCACGCGGAAAGAGATTACCTTCGGTAATCCCGAGGTCTTCTCTCCTTTTCAATTCATTCCATTGCGTTTTATATAATAAAATATTTTCTTTTTCTTTTTATAAGATTCATATAGTAATCATTTTCAAAAATATTTATAAATATTTACTTCTTGGTCTAGTAACAATAATTCGGGGAGTTACAATTAATCTAAACATTACAAAAGTGTTTTACTTCTAGGTTTACAAATAATAGACTATATTATATTTTTGTAACAATAAATCAAGAAATTCATAGTTAAACCAAACATTACAAAAATGGTTTGTTTTCAGTTTTACAAAATAATGACCTATATTACAGACAGTAATATTACAATGTGACGTCTGGGGTCACTTTTAAATATTACTGCTATAACAGTAGTATAAAAACTATTCTAAAAATGTCATTACTGATACAGAAGTAATATTTTCAATGATTTCTTATGAAAAAGGAAGTTTTTCTGACCCCATGCATCTCATAAACCCAGTGGGCACTCTATTTTTGCCTAAATTATGCATACACTTCATTGTATATAGGATTTCCCATGTTTTTCAGTTAATAAGTAACAGTTCTAATGTTAAACACTTATTTCTTTATTATTATTTTTCCTTTTTTTTTAAATAACACAACACAAATATAATTGTATAACAGACAACAATATTATTTACATGATTAGTATGTTCGCGTTCGCCACTGTTGTAAAACAAAAATAAGAAAAGGGAAGGTATGATATTNCCACGGAGTATATATAGTGCGTTTATTTCAATATGAATTCGTGTCAAGAAAAAATTGTAGAACAATTTTTAGATGAGGATTATGAATCTAATTTTTTCAACTATTGATGATTCTAATGATGAACCTTATTAGTATCCTCACGGTATTGACGTTCCACAAGATTCTCCCAGAAGTTCACATGATCCATTTATTCACGGTTCATCAGGTTCGTTGGCGCCTCAAAGACAAAATGTAGATTTATCTGATGATGATTTGTCAACTGAGGTAAGCAGTTCTATTGATGAAAGTGACAACAATAGTGACGATTTTGATGATTGGGTTGATGACTTCCAACCTATTATTGATTTTCAATTTGATTCAACCTCTTTTGGCATTAAAATAAATATACCACAATCTGCTAAAGATTCTCCTATTGAAATATTTAATATACTTTGGCCTGATGATATATTTGAAATTATAGTAAATTCTACGAATAATTATGGTCAAAATCTTACACTTAAAAATCGACCTCATTAAAAATTCTGGAACGTCTTCATTCAAAAATACTAATAAAGAAAAAAAGTAAATTTTTGGGTTTATTTTTAATTTTTTGGATCTGCCAAGTTTTCTGTACTGCAAGATCCATTTTCAAATAATCCTTTGTACCATTTTCCAATCTCTAAAAAAAATTTTTCAGGAAGGCGGTTTGAGCAACTCCTAAATAGCTTTTAAATACATTACATAAGCTTAAATTTTACATATGTTTTAAAAATGCAGTGTTTCCGGATCATTTTCAAAAGTTATTATGAAAAAGTTCTACTTTTTATACGTGTTTTTCAAGTTTTGTACAAGGGGAAATTGCCCGATTTAAAAAAAAAAATATGTCGGATGAAAGGGGTATATATAATGTATTTAGAAACAAAAATTTGTGTTGGTACATACATTTTTCAAAAAGTTATCCTTTTGTAATTTAAGCTAATTTAAATTTTAAAGTCACTTTTTGCCACTTAAAAGAAGCAAAAATATTTAAATAATTTTAACTTTATTTTAACTTATTCTACATTTTAATTAATATCATTTAAATTTATATAATATACATGAACATCATGTAGTTAACTTGTAAGGTATATTAAAATAAACTAAAATACAATACCAAGAATTTTAACACAAAAATAGCATATTTTTTAATATGGTAGCCATTTTCATTATGAAGACGATCTATATTTCAAATTTTTTTTTTTTATTGTGTAGTATATTACATAAGATTTAATTTAATATATATATAAAAGTGTCAATATTTCCAGAATATTTTCGAAAATTAAGTTGAAAAAATTTAATTTAAGTGCAAAAATTGCTTTGTTAAATACCCCCCTGTGGGCAGGTCAAGTGTTAGATTTTCAAAAAAATTATATTTATTAAAAGGGAAATATCTAAGACTTCAATATAAAAAAAACATTTATGTTGATTCGTTCATTTTTCAAATGTTATGGCAGTTTTAATTACCAAAATAACATTAATTTTCTACACGAAAACTACATTTTTTGTCCAATTTTGACGGTTATTTGCACATAGAAGATAGGTCGTCGTTTCAGCGTACCGAATGGTGTCCGGAGTGGCGGCGGGTATCCTGTCTTCACTGCCGCACGACGACATGCTCGCCGAGGAATGCACCGCCGGCCATTAGATCCGCCTAGAACGCTGCCCTCAAACCCGAGAACCGACTGGTACTCGGCGGACGACACTCTCCAGTAGTGTACTCGCCTCTCGACGACGAGAGGCGAGTGGACCAGGTACCTTATTGGAACCGATCGGCTGGACATGTAGGTGAACCGGACTCACAGTGAACTGACATATTGTCTCACCCAAGTGATGTCCGGGCACGGCTGCTTTAACGAGTACTTACATCGTATTCGCAAAGAAGTCGAGCCGACGTGCGACCACTGTTCGGATCACCCGGAAGCGCTCTGCCTCGTTCCCCGTAAATGGTGAACCTCCAAAAAAATTACAAATTTTAAAATCGCTAATTTTTTCAATTTTTTTTAATGAAAACTGCCATAACATTTTCAAAAATGATAAAATCAATATAATTTTTTTTTTATAAATGCCTAATGTCTTTACCTATCATTTGATATATTTTTTTTATAAATTTGAGCCTTTTCCTGCCCACAGGAGGGGATTCAAAATGACAACTTTTTCACAAAAAATTAATATTTGAAAGTGTTCCGGAAAGACTAACACTTTTATATATATCTTAAATTAAAGCTAATGTAATATACTTTATAATTGAAAAAAAGAATTTCGGACTTTATTTTGTTTTCATGGTGAAAACAGACATCAAAGTTAATAAAAAAATTCTTTTTTATATTCTTTTCTTTAAAATGCTATAACTTTTTGAAAAATAAATGAATCATTATTTTTTTTTTAACATAATTACAATTTATATTTATATATTAAAATTATATATATATTTATTTATTCATATATTACACATATAAATCATAAAACTTTTAATCAGAATATAAATAATAAAATAGGAGATCATGTAGCTTTTGAACAATCCATTCATTTTTAAAAAATTAAACACTATCTACAGATTCGCATCGAAGCGTTTTTTATGATAGTGAATTTAATCACTGTCAGATATCATCTATACTATATCCAATTATGTCACATCCCCACTGTGTTCCAACTCCACTGAGCTGGTTTTTTTCATTTTATAGTGCATGATATAAGATTTAATTTGATATATGTTTAAAATACGCAGATATTACGGAACATTTTCAAAAATTAAGTTGAGTTTTGTAAAATAGTAGCTATTTTAAATCCACCCCTGTGAGCAGGTTAAGTGTCAAAAACATGATATAAATGACAAGATAATATCTAAGGTTTCAATTAAAAAAAAATTATGTTGATTTGTTCATTTTTGAAAAAATTATGGTAGTTTTAAGAAAAAAAAGTGAAAAAAATTACTGATTTATAACATTTTTTTTTTTTTTTTGAGAACTCCCCATTTACGGGAACGAGACAAATTTTTTCAATTTTTAAGGGTAATGTCTTAAACTAGATACGATTTGAGATCTTTTGACGTATCGTTCAGTGTAATCGGTTCAGTGAAAAATGAAAAAAAGTAGTGACAGACACAAAAAAATAAACACATAATGGTAAAATTAATACCTTTTCAGCTTCGCATCGAAGCTAAAACTCTAAAAAAAATTAATATGATAAGATGAATTTTTTTCTGATAATATACAATTTAATCAAGAATTTTTTTTTTTTTACTTAAGATAACAACTCTATTTTATTTTGTCCCAAATCAACCACTGTTTTACTATACATTAATATGAATGTCGAATTCTTCAATTCAGATTAATTAATTTATTAATCCGTTATTATTCATATTTTGTCTTTTAAATAAACTATAAATAAATGCTTACTTTAAATAAAATAAGAAATAGAAATATGTTTTTCTAACGAATGCACTTAAAATTTCATAATGAATTGTTTAATTGATAAGTATACAGATAAATATAGAAGCATCTTTTGAATTAATTTAAACAGAACTTATTAAGTTTCAACGCAGTAATTTCATTTTATGAAAAATACATAACTTTTCAATTAAACACACTTTTTAAACGCTGTATGGAACCATGTGACAGATCATTATTGACAAGCAACGATCTAATATAGTCATTTATTATTTGTTCAAGTTAGTAACAACTTTTTAACTGATAAAAGTCAAACAATTCTCAGTCATTACATTATATAGGTTTTTTTTTCAACAACCAACATAGAAATTTACCTATGCGTTTACTACAACATATCGCATTACTTAAAATTGGTAGCGCTTATCGATTTACGACCCATAACGTTCGAGTCTGTTACAAATTTTTGTTATAAACCCTTAAGTTTAGAGAGCCGAGGAGCGCTTATTATAAAATAAAATAAAATATTTTTCTTACAAAAAACTTTATTATTAGACTAAATTTAATAATGTAAAAAAAATAAAAATGCCATTTGAAGTTGATATAAGTTTAAAGCTAAGGGATGATAGTAGAAATTTTAATTTTCTTGTGAAACACCTCATCAAAGATCCATAATGAATAAAATAATAATTTACATTATTAAACATTTTATTTATAAACACTTTAATAAAGCAATGATTAATAAACAATTGTTCTCATACAGCGATTCAATATTCAGATGACGATGTAAAATGCCAATTTGAAAAAGATACGACTAAAAAACCTGCCGAAAATGATATTTTGGAATTATTAATAAATGCTCGTGAAAATGGATTGGAGTGGAACGAAGAAACAACAAAGGCTGCTGCTACTAACGGATATTTAGAAATCTTAAAATATTTACATATAAGTGGATGTCCGTGGGATGAAAGCACGACAGAAGCAGCTGCACAGTATGGTAATTTGGAATGTTTAAAATATGCTCATGAAAATGGATGCCCGTGGGATAAATTAAAAATTGTGAAATGTGCTATTAAAAATGATGATATAGATATTTTAAAATATGCTCACAAATATATACCCAAATTAAATATAGTTCTAACTACTATGGCTGCCTTTTTAGGTAATATAAAAATTTTAAAATACGCACATGAAAATAGATTTTTGTGGGATAAAAATACAACAGAAGCCGCTGCTTGTACCGGTAATTTAGATTGTTTAAAATATTCTCATGAAAATAAATGTCCATGGGATAAAAAAACAACAGAAGGGGCTGCTTCTTATGGTAAATTAGAATGTTTAAAATATGCCTATGAAAATGGATGTCCGTGGGATGAAACCATAACAGAAGTGGCTGCTTCTTATGGTCAATTAGAATGTTTAAAATATGCTCATGAAAATGGATGTCCGTGGAATGAAAGAACAACAGAAAGAGCTGCTGATAATGGACATTTAGAATGCTTAAAATATGCTCATGAAAATGGATGTTCGTGGAATGAAAAAACAACAGAAAGAGCTGCTGATAATGGACATTTAGAATGCTTAAAATATGCTCATGAAAATGGCTGTGAATGGAATCAATTCAATATTTTGATGAGTGCTATTCAAATAGGTAATCTAGAAATGTTTAAATATGCTCATGAAAATATATGCGAATTGAATAAAGTCATTATTACTATGGCCGCCTTAAAAGGTGATGTAGAAATTTTAAAATATTTACATAAAAATAAATATCCCATGGATGAAAGTATAACAGAAGGAGCTGCTTCTAGTGGTAAATTAGAATGTTTAAAATATGCTCATGATAATGGATGTCCATGGAATGAAAGGACAACAGAAGCAGCTGCTTCTCATGGACATTTAGAATGTTTAAAATATGCTCACAAAAATGAATGTCCATGGGATAAAAGCACGACTCATGCAGCTGCAAAATATGGTAATTTAGAATGCTTAAAATATGCTCATGAAAATGGCTGTGAATGGAATCAATTCTATATTGTGTTACGTGCTATTAAAAAAGGTAATATGGAAATGTTAAAATATGCTCATAAAAATTTATGCGTATTGAATAAAGATGCAACTATAATGTCTGTTATAAAAGGTAATCTAGAAATTTTAAAATATTTACATATAAATGAATGTCCGTGGGATGAAAGCACAACAAAAGCAGCTGCTTCTTATGATAAAGTAGAATGTTTAAAATATGCTCATGAAAATGGTTGTCCGTGGGATGAAGCCACAACTAAAGTTGCTGCAGCAAATGGCTCTTTAGACTGCTTGAAATATGCTCATGAAAAACGATGTCATTGGGACAAAGATACGATAGCTGCTGCAGCTGTACATGGTAATTTAGATTGTTTAAAATACGCCCGTACTCATGGATGTGATTGGGTTGAAGGTACAATGAGATTGGCTGCAGCGAATGGACATTTAGACTGCATTAAATATGCCCATGAAAATGGTTGTGAATGGGACGAAGGCACAACAAGGGAAGCTGCTGCTAGTGGTTGTATAGAATGTTTGGTATATGCACATAAAAATGGATGTAAATGGGATAAAGGGACAATGGGTGGAGCTGCTGCAAATGGTCACTTAGACTGCCTAAAATATAGTCATTTAAATGGGGGTGTGTGGGACGAAGGGACAACAAGACTTGCTGCTGCAAATGGTCAATTTTATTGCATAAAATTTGCTCATGAAAATGATTGTCCATGGAGTATAGATACTATTTATGAAGCCACTCAAAATGGTTATATAAGTATAATCAACTATGCTACCGAAAATGGCTGTCTGAATTAATATTCTAATGAATTATAATTATTTTTATTTTACTAATTTAATTTGGCTATTATTACATTACATTTACAATAAACTAATTTGAATTTTGATGTATATCTGAGAAGGTATTTTAGGACATATTAATTTCTTAAGAAATACTATTTTTAGAACTATTATCAAAATCTAATATTTTCTCAGTTATAAGAATATTTCTTCAAGAATAACGTCGTTGACCTTTGATTAAAAAAAAAAAATTGAAAATCGGACATTAAATAATTTTTTTAGCATTGGCTAATTTTTAATGTTCTAATTATATAATAATATTGATTTAATATAGAGAACACTGTGTATTTTTTTGTATATTTTTAAGTAAAACATGAAACTCTCAATTATATAAAATTTCATCATTGAATTGCTTTAAATACTTAATATTAGTAAAAGTAAAGTGTAACCGGAATATACATTATTTAATTGATAATTATGTTATAATAGAATTAGATTAAAAGTTAATATTAATTCACAGAGTTTCAATATATCCAACCTTTGATTATTTTCAATTTGTTGACTTACAACTCTTCTAAACTTTTGTTTGATAAATGTGATTTATAAAGAATATTTGTCTAAATATATTGTTCAAAAGAAAAATTGGTAAATTAAATTAAATATACAATATATACAAATTCATTATAGTATGTTACAATGTTTGTGATGTGTTTCACAAAAAATAATGTAATGTCGTATAAAATTAAGATACTAACCGGAATAATTCTCAGAACAATAAATACACATAGAAAGAGTTACTGATCAAACAAGCAATTTCTATGCCGTATTGAGGTTGATGTATGACCAAACAGAATTGTTTTTTAGTTGTTCATATATATTTCAATAAATATTATAGTTTGTATGGATTACTATTTAAACTTATCAGTCATATCTTAAATATATAAAAATCATATCTTTAAAACACAAATTTTAGAGTAAGATTGTTTTTAAATTACTCCAACCATTTTTGTATGTGTCCTGGAGTCCCACAAGGTGGTAAAATTGCCCCATTTTAACCCTCAAACAGTCTCGTGGGGGTCTAGCATACCCCCACATAAATAAAAACGGATGTATTATATTACATAAAAGGCGTACATAGATATAAATTTAGAAGATGGTTTTTATAGTAATATTGAATCGATTTTCATAAATAAATACCTTCGAAAAAAATTGTATGACTTAAAATATTCATCAAAATTGAAATGGATCATATTTACCTCCACACGACTTGTAACGTTATAATTTTTTTTGGACTTTTATTTTTTTCAAAATATCGTTTTATTGTAAATGCAATATTATAATCGATATAATATTTTGGAATTGGAATTATGTGGATCTGCCACCGACTGTACAATTAAATTTTAAAAATAAATAATCTATTGAGAATTTCCACTACTCGATGATATGGAACAAATAAGAACAAAACATGTAATAAATACATCGCGTCGCAATGTGGACGTTGAGACGTTATTTTTGGAAGAAAAATCAATTTTCAACAGATTTAGAATAATTGTATATACTCGTATCATAATAATTAAATGTATTGTAATATTAATAATTGCTGAATGGAATAGGTTAAGTAATTAAAAGATTTAGAAATTATTCGTAATATTATAGTATTTAATATAAAATATCAAAACATATAATATAAGAGATGTACAACGGCAACGGATCACATTACTCAATAGACGGTGAAACTACGACTAAACTGTAAAGATGTATACAATAGGCTTCATTGTGTAAAACAACATAATCGTTAAAAAAAATGACAAATTTACCGATTTTTAAATTAGTATTTTTTTTGGAAATTTCCCATATTTACGGGGAACCAGGGAAATTTTTTCAATTTTTGCGGGTAATATCTTCGATTAGATGTAATTTGTGATTTTTTGACGTATCATTGAAAAAAATCCGTTCGGTGAGAGCTGAGAAAAAGTGGTAACAGACACAAAAAAAAAAAGAAATTATTAAGAACAAAAAAAAATTGGTTTAAATTAATATGTTAAAAATAAGGAAAATAATAAGGAACATAATTGACCTATTTTTTTAATCTTTAAAGTTGATTTTTGTGAATGTTTATAATAAAAAAATAAAAAATTAATTTATTACCATAACTTTTAGAATAACTTGCAAGTTAGAAATTGATATTATAAAATAGTCAAAAATTAAATTGTTAAGATTAATATGCAATCAGGAAATGTTATAATTACTATTTTCAGTAAGTTTATCATAATTTTTTTTTTCTTAAAACATCCAAAACTTTTTCAAAAATAAACAAATCAACATAATTTTTTTTATACTAAAACCTTAGACATTTCCCTTTTATTTGATTTTAATTTTATTAGCTGCTCTTATCGTAGTTTTATTCCAAAAGCATCCAGTAGAGGGGTAAAGTATGAGCTGGGACCCCCCCTAACCCACATGTTGTGGGTTTACCCAGCCATAGGTGGACGGGCGGTGTAAACGGCCGGGGGGATATGGTGAAAGGTCGATGTTTCTCGTTCCTTGATAGCATTTCGTTATACCATGGTACATGTTACCTTGGTATATGCATAGTATACCTAGGTAGATGGAACATCATATAGTATATCTTGATATATTACAGAAAATTGGAGGTATTTTAAAAATTACATAATTTTAGAATTATATGAAAATATTTGAATGCAGAAAAGTGAAAGGTGTAATCAAGCGGCGACGGCGGCTATTAATCCAACGAAACTCAACTATGACGTGTATTGTTCATAGAGGGTCTCCCTTCCTTAACTCAAGTATGTATTAAAACAGCAGACCAACTATTTACCCCTACATAGAAGGGGAGGCGATGATAAAACTCATCATAAGATGATCATTATTATAATATTAAAGTAAATAAATAAATATGTGCAATATTTCATAAGAATTCAGTTATTTTGTAATTAAAGAGAAAATATTTAAAAATCGATAGTTTAAATTAATTATTATGATATTAAGTTACATTATTGCGTTTGTTAATAGATATTTTTTTTGTTAATGTGTAAACGTTATTGGATAAAACATATGTATACATATTGAGTATACACATACTCTATTACATATATTTGTATAAAAATATTTAGAAATCGTGACTTTAAATTTAATTATTATGATATTAAAGTGAAATCACTTAAGTGGTGAACAAAAAGGCTAGTTTACAGGGATATGTGATCTGTAATTTGCATTTTATATAATTATTCAATAATTCCTCGATGAAAATATGTGATTTTTCCGCATAAATGAGTATTTCACATAAAAGACTGATTATTACTTGAGTAAAATTAATAGTGTGTATCACTAAAAAGTTTTAAAAAATGTTTTCTTGTGACAAGTGTGAAAAAGTGTACGTTGTCAAAAAACTGTTTTTAACTGCTGAGGAGGTGATGATGAAACTCATCATAAGGTGATCATTATTATGATATTAAAGTAAATAAATAAATATGTATAATATTATACTATTTCATAAGAATTGAGATATTTTTTAATTAAAGAGAAAATATTTAAAAAATCGATAGTTTAAATTAATTATTATGATATTAAATTACATTATTGCGTTTGTTAATAGATATATTTTTTGTTAATGTGTAAACGTTATTGGATAAGACATATGTATACATATTGAGTATACACATACTCTATTACATATATTTGTATAAAAATATTTAGAAATCGTGACTTTAAATTTAATTATTAGGATATTAAAGTGAAATCACTTAAGTGGTGAACGAAAAGGCTAGTTTACAGAGATATGTGATCTGTAATTTGCCGACCCTCGATGAAAATATGTGATTTTTCCGCATAAATGAGTAATTTCACATAAAAGACTGAGTATTACTTGAGTAAAATTAATAGTGTTGTATCACTTAAACGTTTTAAAAAATGTTTTCTTGTGACAAGTGTGAAAAAGTGTACGTTGTCAAAAAACTGTTTTTAACTGCTGCATAGGAATATACATGACGGTATACGATTTAAGTGTTATTTATGCTCATCTACTTTTTCGGACAAATGCGGACTTGTACAGTTATCATATATTGTATACCCTGGTATATTCATAGTATACTGAGGTAGATGGAACATCATATAGTATATCTTGATATATTATAGAAAATTGGAGCTATTTTAAAAATTACATAATTTTAGAATTATTTGAAAATATTTGAATGCAGAAAAGTGAAAGGAGTAATCAAGCGGCGACAGCGGCTATTAATCAAACGAAACCCAACTATAGCTATGTGATGAGTAGGCCTTTGGTCATAGAGAGCCCTCTTACTTGAATAATTAAAACAGTTAATCAGCAGTTTACCCCTACATAGAAGAGGAGGTGATGATGAAACTCATCATAAGGTGATCATTATTATGATATTAAAGTAAATAAAGAAATATGTGCAATATTTCATAAGAATTCAATTATTTTTTAATTTTAGAGAAAATATTTATACGTTTGAAATAATATTTTATCAAATTCTTTTTTGATTATTCAGTCACACTACCGCGTTTGTTAATAGACATTAATGTGTAATCGTTTTTGTATAAAACATATGTATACACATAATCTATTACATATATTTGTATACAAATATTTAGAAATTGAGAGTTTAAAATTAAGTATTATGATATTAAAGTGAAATTACTTAAGTGATGAAGAAAAGATTTAATATACGGGGATATGTGTCCTATGATTTGCTGACCCCCCTATGAAAATATGTGATTTTTCCGCATAAATGAGCATGAAATCGTTGATAAAGTCACAGTGTCATCAAGAACCATCAGCTCTAAAAAGAAGACTCTACTCTATGAATAATATGGCTGCCGAACCTGTAAGAAAACAGCGCTACATTTATATCGCACCAACACCGCCAGCCGAGATGATTGACTCTAGCAGTTACACTATTGCGTTCAGCGACAGAAAATTTTTGCAAGTGGGCCTGAATCCAAAGGATGACTTCAATGTTACGGTATGTATTATTACTCCTTCACGATATATTAGTATGTCAGCAGATTATTTAAATATTATTTACGGCATAAGGGATGAAATAACATTATTCCTACAATCACCTCCGGTAAAAGGAGAGAACATTATGTTATACCAAAATGTCGATTTTAATATAACCAAAGTATTGTACCGTGATACCATGCATTTAGTATTAGAATCCAGAAGAGTGGATGGTTGTAGAGTGTTATTGAATAACGAAAACATTAATAGACTTATATTTTCTCTTTAATTACAAAATAACTGAATTCTTATGAAATATTGCACATATTTATTTATTTACTTTAATATTATAATAATGATCATCTTATGATGAGTTTTATCATCGCCTCCCCTTCTATGTAGGG